TCAGAGGGATATCGATCCTGGACTCGAACCCATGACCATGTGTGTGGGACAATACGCCTTATGCCACTTCGCCACCTCCTTCCGAAATACGCATAGTTAAGAATATTCTAGGCTAAAAGTAGCTTATAACACTAATGAAAACAGACAGATGATACAAAATGTAGAAATCCATGTTGATTCTGATTACCAAACAAAAAAAAAACACTGGAAACGCCATAGAACTCGGTAAAACTCACTATAAAAGTCAGAGATCGCGAACGACGTCTTGATCGACGGTCTACCTGCAAATGTAGCCGTTTTCAGTCTCTTAAAAACTTAGACTTAAAGCTATGATACAAAGTCTAACTAGTTTTCCCCATTGAGAAAGTCCTTGTGTAGAATATGAATATAGCTGTTCACCAACCTTTGCTTCGTCCTCCAGCCGTACTTCAATACCTGGCGAAACATCCAATTGTAGGTGGGGGGACGAACAAGCCTCGCATTCTATTGTCTATATATTGAACAGTACATATACTTCAATATCAATAAAATCATCAAAAGAATCATTAAGCTACAGCTTACGTCATTTGTCTTCTCGGTCAGATCAAGGTTTTCCATTGAAGGGTACAGGTCAGATCTAAATGGAGACCACATCGATTATTTGAATACTAGCTGATAAGTTGTAGTATTGGAGTAAATTCTCAACTTTTAACCCACATTTTACCATCTACGACTTTTTTGCCAAGAGTCACCAGCAGATCCTCCAGCTTCGTTATCTGAAACATGAAAGTACGTTCTTTCAAAAAAAAAAAGAACAGTGAAGATGCTAAGGAGCATAAAGGTGTATCCCACATCAGATCTGAGCCGTAGCAAAGTGCAATTGGCGTCGCAGAACTCCACTCTTTGCTCACACATTGTTACACGTGGGCTCTGCAAGTAAACCTTCTACAGTAAAAGTTATTCTCAAGAGGGATCAGGTCATAAATCACCTAGGAGTGAAGCAAAAGTGCAAAACGGGCACAGCATCCATATAAATGAGCCACTGAATCCCTCACAGATTCCCATAGGAGGCAACTGCTCCTTCCCCTCGGGGAGACGGGCACTAGGAACGGTTATGTGCAATCGATCCGCCACACGCGACTGTCGCGGACCATTTGCCTCATTATAACAGTTCTAGCGTTCTTCATACAGCTCAATCGTTATGCGATTATTACTTATGGCATGGTGCTACTGTTAGTTCTTTTGTTCCTGTATTTCTTACTTGCTGCTGCATTTTACCACATTCCTTCGCGCGCGGCGTCCCTCTCGCCACGACGCGACAATTTCGTTCCTAGTGCACCACACCCCCTTCCCTCGCGTTTGGATCGACCAACCGCTTCGTCTGAGAGGATAAAACCACAAACCACTTTTACATGGAACGGATCTCGTAATCCTACTACGCGTTTGGCCTATTACCTGTGGTGAGTGTCGGTCCCAGAATGGGATTGATCCCGGTCAAACAACTTTTCAACTGGTATCTTCAATGCTGAGGTGAAAAGTGAAAGAGAAAAAGAAAGCAAAATTAACATCATTGATTACCTTTGTTGTACAATTATCACTAAGAAGAAGCTGCAAGGCGTCGTGGTTGGCCTTGAGTTTCCCTGCGCCCTCCATAATCGAGCCCAGAACCCTATGAAGATTTTCCGAAAACGTTTCAGAAGCCATTGAGTTCTAGAAGGAAAAAAGAAATTCGCCTGGCGTTTCGACCAACGGGTCAATTCCACTAACACCGAACAATCCCTCAACTTTAAAGTCGATAGAGGAAACTTTAGCAACTTTAGAAAATTGGTAGAAGCACAGGAGGCAAGGGGGAATACCTATGACGGGTGGCACGACCGGACTCCGCCTACAAGGGGCGGGGCGTGCGCGATTAAAATTTAGACCGCAAATTTATCTCCTATTCCCGTGGACGTAAAGAGTTCGAATTTCGTAGGATTACAGCTTTACGTTTTACCAGTAGAACCTCAGCATTCTGCTAAGTGATGTAGGATATGACGGGATCGTAGGTACTAGGTGACAGGAACCGATAGCAACTGATAAGAGTAGATAAGGGGCCCACGAGAGCAAGAGTCACCTACCGATCAAAATTCTAAGCATTCGTTATTTACGATGTAGCTTGGGCTGTTCAGTATATTTCATTCGATGAGACGAGATGGTAGAATAGGGTGATAAAAGTGAGTGGTAAGTGCAAAGATAGGGACCTATTAGTGGTCAAGCGGATGAGAATTTTGTTCATTTCCTGCTATCAGGTTACGACCGCTACCCAGAAAGGTATGTGAGTCAATGAAGCATTCTCTTTGTTCGAAATCATTTGCGACAAAACTTAATCACCGCTAGTAATCTGGAATATTCAACTAACGATATCTCTGTAAAGAAAAAGATCCATTGATAAAGATATCTGATAATGGTGTTACCATCACTCGAACCATTTGTGGGTACTGCCCCACAACTTTGGTTGCCTCACAATTGAATTTTTGATGGGTAGTTATTTTCAAGAGTCAGAGCAAAAGATTGAGACTCTCAATTAAAAGTGTAAGCACGAAGGAGGAGAAAGTAACAAATGTCACCACCATTCAAAACTGAGACTTGGCTGAAATCCAAATTTTTGAGAAGGGCAAAAAAAATCACGGTTCTCTCGAGACCATCTAATATAGGTAGATTTGCCCGCGCGATCACGTTGCTCTACAGGTTTATGATATCTCAGCGGACCTCGGCCATTCTGTCGTTCCCAGCTCCCTCAATACTCTTAGAGGAAAGTGAACAGATGATGGGGACAGAAGTACAGAAATGTTTCCGCTACCCATTTTGAGGTGGGTACAGAAAATCTTGTAAAATAACATCCCGAGGTTTGGATAGCCAAATAAGAGGCTGAGCATCCCTAAAGGAGTCGTAGGTCAATACTCAGTTCTCTCTCTAAATAAAGCTCATTTGAGGATTACTTTCTCCAATATTTAGACTGTAATGATTCCACTACACTGCATTTTGGTGCTCAGGTATGTAAATAGGATAAGGCCAACAGTATGGGCCATTGGGGTCCATTGTCCCTACCCATGCGACAGCCACTTCCCTCAGACAAGTTCGTCCTCGGACTCACATTTCTCTGTCTCGCACTTTTTTGAACCGGTTCGGTCCGGCCTCCGTTATTTATCCATGATTTAGCTTGTGAACTCGCTGCTTTGCCTTCTTTTCGGTTGACCTGTTGCATATTCCCATAGTCTACGGAATTGGGTTCCAGTATTCTTACATCTTCTCAGATAAATCTTATGTTCAGCTCGATACTTCTTCTTTCTATACAGACTATTCTTTACTGTGGACCATTCACTACTGTCGAAATCGAGCAGACCAAAAAACCCCTATAAAAGTATCCAATATTTACACTTGAACTTCCTTTAGCCGTAAAATACAATGTGATGGTCGCAGGATAGCTACGGAGAGTACACCTTCCTCTGTGTTTTTTTTTTCACGACTAATATTACGTAGGAGTTTGAGACAATTTCAGTTTTGTTCATAAAAAACAGTCTTTCTACATTTTAGGGTGTAGGGATGTGTAGATAGCATTCTAAAGCGCCGCTCCAGGCGTTACTTAGTGGTTGACAGTTGACTTGGAACAACGATTAAAGAATGGCCTACGCACTAATGCAGAAGTTTGTTAAAAGTGAACCTTCTGTTAGGCTTCCCATTAGTAAATTACGGCTTAATCATCACTGTTTATTCCTATTTCCTTTATTATGACTGAAGTTTCTTATGATTTAAGTCGTTTCAGAATGCTTTTAAGTCGTTGTCATCAAAGGATACAGCTGTTAGATGCCTTCAGCCAATGTGCTAGGTTTTTGTCTACAGCTCGTGCTCATCAGGATAATGCATCAACGTCGAAGGAAAGTTCAATAATGGGCACGAAATCGGATCTCAAGGTGGTTAATTCTCCTACTAACGTTTTTGATTTCTAGTGTCCTCTTCGACTTTTTTATTCTGAATTTTCTTATTCAGTGGATTGATTTCGAAAGGTCCACGTAACCTTCCAAATTATGTGGTGGTATTCGTATGATATTTCATTGACTGATCATTGGGTAATTGTAAGATTTGAAAATACACTCAACAAGAGGTTGCCAAAAGTTTGGAAGACTCCCTTGTACATCAATTATCTTCCTTTTGCCATTACATGCTTTTTTTTATCGCCCAAAGGGTTCCATGAAGGACCCTAGCTGTTTTTTTACGTAAAAACAACTAAAATCTTTCGAAAAACTTGAAATTTGTTTGCTTTTGTTTATTGGAAGAGTATATGGGCTTTACTTCATACATAGCATTGCAAGGCTGTGAGTATAAAGTCAATAAGAGGTCCACGGTCGTTATGAGGTTTTGAGCTTTTTTTGATCGTTGGCCATAGAGCAAAGGTGTGAGAGGAAAACCCGTAAAATAGAGTGCAGAAGCTTTTTAACGGGCAGTTAAAAAGCAGGAACTAGTTTTTCGATGCGTTCTTATATTCGTCTCCTCTTATGCATTTTTCTTTCTCTGGTCGTAAAGTAAGCGCTATAGTACCGCTCGCAAGTATGCTGCAATTCCTTCACAGCTGGTATTTCTCATAGGTTCATATCGTTTTTTTATCATCGGCCTTGGGCAACTTACGAGCAGGTATTTTAAAATAGTAATTGTATCGCGCTATCTAGACATCTCTTTTATCGCTGATTACCACTGTAAGTAGGACGCGGCCAAATATGGAGAATCTATTTTGTGTTGGAATAAAGATAATATTCTTATTTTTTGTTCGATGTAATGACGTTCATTCGAAACAATGAAACTTTTCACAATGTTTTATCCTTAAGGTTCCTGAAGTAGAGTCAAAGTTGGGAGAAAAGAAGAAGCGGTTTCTTTTTGAACGTAGAGACGTGCCAATGAATACTAATTTCCATAATGAACGAAATATTCCTGGATATGATCCTGAGTATCCAATTGAAGAAATTATCAAGGACGCTCCGCGAATAATGAAACAGCAAGCGAAGGTAATCGGAATCGTTTCGAGATCTTCATATGTTTTCATAATTTTACTCTAAGTGTTATGATTCTACTCGACGGAAGATAGTATTGCCCTTTTCTGAGTAGTTATGAAGTTATAGTTGTTGAAAGAAGAATTATCTTCAATCGAACTCACCATGGAAAAGAAAGAAATGTTTGAAGATCTTGGTGGTTTGCGCCATGATGAAGCTCGAATCGAATGGAAGTTTGATACACCAGAGGTGAGATTCACGATGCTAGGATCTTCTTGTGTACAGGAGGCTACTAAAATCTTACTCACAATAGGCAATGTCCAAATGGTTCACTGGGTGCGATTCGGATTGGAAAGAAGGTTTCTCAACAGTACAACTTGTTCCTACTGACAACAACACGGCACTTTTCAAGTTTGTGATTTTCGGTAGTTTCATGGATCGCTGAGGTTTACGAGTCTTTTGCAGGGGCAGTCTTTCCACAAAAATCATAAAAGACGGGCGTATAGAACGAGCTGGATGGGCAACCATGAAGTTGGAAGATAAGAAGTTTTTGAATCGAAAAAAATTTCTTAGGAGTTGGAGGAATTACACCCACCTTCTTATCAAAGTGAGTTTAGATACTACGTTACGTTTATGTTTATGCCTTAACTTGTGTTTCTTTTTTGTAAATAATAGCGTTCTTCCTTTATTTCTGTTTTCTAGTCCTGTTCCTGGTGCGATCTGCTTTTGCTGATGGTTTTTTCGTCATCATTACCTCAATACGTTCGTTTCTTAGCGAAAATATGATCTCACTCTAACTGTTCATTCTCAAGAACTATCCATTCCTGAGCTGCCTCCTTACCTGTCTTAGGGCGAGTCGTTTCGTGGTCGAGGCCAAATTCGTTGATATAAATTTGACAAGATTAAACGAAATGACGCAACATTATTCAATTCAAATTCCTAAAATCGGCTTTTGCTTACTTTAGATGCCAAGATCAGCGTTTCTATCATAATCTTTGTAACATTTGGAGGACGATAAACGAAACGTTTTATCTGCGCCTTATCTGAAAGCAGTCTGTCAATTTGTTGACAGGACGGGGCTCTAGGCTTCATGAATTCATTGGTTTTGAACTCGCGGATTTTATATCAGGAACGACATGTAATTTAATGGAAATACCATTTTCAGTGCCGTGGTGACGGACGAAGTTACAAGGTGATGCTCCATGCTCCGAAAACGATGGATTTGACTTGGGGAGACTCGTTTTCCTATCCACTGCATACTCGAGGTGGTCCATATTGGCAGTACGAAAAGATACCTTTCTCGAAGTTTTTTCACACCGTATCTGGACGAATTCAGGACAAACAATATAGAGTATGTCTCGAAGACGTAAGGTGAGGGACATTCAATTTGTTTCAACCTTCAGTAATCATGTAGCTACTACTTCTTACTGCTAAGCAAGTAACTTCGATCAAAGTTCTTAAATAATGAAAAAATTACAGCTCCCTTGGAATTGTACTGATGGATCGTATAGATGGTGATTTCCGACTAGAGCTGGATTATATTGGCGTTTACAACGACCACACGCATTTAGAAGATTTTGCTTATGAAACGTATGTGTTACCGTTATGGAACACGGACGGGATGTAGATATATTTATTTCTATATAAATATAGAGAGCTATGTTAAAAATAATAATTTTTGTGAAACACATAGTAATCGATTTCCAACTAGTTGGCTGTAGCTGTGCTTTCACCATGACGCTAAAATCGGTAAAGAAAAGTCTGGGATTCAGGTAAGGTCAAGCAAAGGTCTTGACAGTAATACCATCAGTCCAAAATATTGTAATTGAGTTTTTATGTATTGGGTTCTCTTAGGCTGCCGTAGAATTTCAGTGCGTATAAACAGGCTGTTGTGAAAAAGACTATGTTTCACTGAAACTCTACTAGGAAATCAGATTTGAGTTTTTAATTTCTTATTTATTGAATGTAAGTTAGATGACCAAGTCCAGAGTTTATTGATGAGTAATATAGTCAAAATTAGTTTTATGGCATTAAAAATGCACAATTAATACTTGAGTAATAAAGAAATAAACTTCATTACACCTGAACATCATTGAAAAAACCAATCGGTCGTAGAGGCATCCATAGCCAACAGAGAAATACAATAAAAGTACAAGTAAGTACCTAGGACCCAAATCGAAATCCTTTATTTATGGCACAACTAGTTCTACAACATTACGTCCTTCTTTTTCGACAACATTGGTATGTACGGCTCCAAATCGATCTGAAATCAATTTATCAATCGAGTAAGGCCAATGGACCTGTAACTAAGTAAGACATCTAATAAAAGTCTAAGAATGAGGAATGAATGTTGAATAGTAATGCTACTGCCATATAATTGTGGTTACTGCACGAAAGACAGAATACACGGTCGCCAACTTCACGGCATCAAGGTACTCGCATTACAGGCATATAGTCTGCTTATCGTGTTGCGAGTAAAGGGGATCTTTGGGCTATCCCTCATACTAAACTCGTTACACTTCACTTACAACAGGGTCACTTACAACTTACAGGATTTGAAGAAAAATTCTTTACCCCAATGCTTTATGCTTGGGTTAAACACAACGTGTTTGACAGAATGGAAGATAATTAGAAAATCGCATAAAGCAACAGTGAACTCAGATAGTACGGTACACTTGTTTCATTATGTTGTGTAACTCATGTACTGAAATTTAATTTGGAAATGAAAAGAAAATAGAAATCATTACCCTGTCGCCATCTATCACATGTGGTCGATGTTGCATTGCTTTTGTGGCGCTCTCAGGGTGTTCAAATGTGACAGAGGCGAAACCTCGATGCAAACCCGTTTCCGCATCCTGAACATTCAAAGAGAATATTAAGTCTTACTGGATGAGTAATATCAGATGCTGTCCTTGACAATTATAAATCAACTATCTAAGTTCGATCAGATGAAGTGGTTTCACAATACTCACAAAGAACATATTCACACTGCGTACATGTCCATAACGACTAAAGTAGTCATGTAGTTGATCTGAAAAAGGAAATCCTGCCACAGTATCAATGAAAAATCAAATATTCACAACAAATACTAAGAACCAATTTTGGTGAATAAAATATTTCGGGAGTGTAGAAGCGGACTGAATAACTACTCTAGCATTTTCAGGTATTCTTTGAATCCCATACAAATATCACTAAAGCATCTTAATCAGAAAATATTTGTGCTCGTGAGGTGGTCCATTTATAAGAAGCAGTTTTCAGGGGTAATCTCGCTTTCAAAACATCAACTGTTTGGTTCAGTAGTTTCAAAAATATCGCCAAGCAGTTCTGACGTCATTCATGAGCAAATAGAAACGAGCGATCAACAAGAATAACAGCTCCCACTGTTGGCACCCTCTGTACCGAAGGATCTCGTTGGTCGCTAAAGAAACAGATTCTGAAAACATAAATCGAAGCCCAGTCCCGAATAATTGATCGATTTCTTGGTAACGAAAAGTACAGCGCTAATGCTAGACGGTTGAGAGTAAGAGGAAAGTTAAACCAAAGTCTGTAAAATGCGGCAGCGGTATGAAGGCTCGGTTCAACTCCTGTTCACCATAAGAAAGGCTAAATTTAGGAAGCCAGTCAAATATGACAAAGGGACGGTTTGTTTCATTTAACACTGGCTTGTCTATAATTATAGGAAGAGATATGTGAAATAGTGGGGATGAAAAAAGAGGATTGAAAACTGTTCTTTAAACTTACGTTTTCCAGTGACCCACTTTACGTGGGTTAAATAGACAGTTTTCCCTACTGACTGACCATTATGTGAATGAACTATAGTTCGACGAATATTTTCTCCAAGAAACCTAAGCGACGACCGCATAACGGTGCCGAAAAAGTACCTAAAGCAATTATTTTGTTAAATAATTTGTAACACGTGGTATCTTTGCAAAATTGAGACGAAATGAATTCGAAACCACTTGTAAATCTCTAGTGACCATAATAAGGACCCTATGAAGGCTCGCGTTTGTGGAAAAACAATCACCTTTGCATTCTATAACCATAGAAAATCTTACAAAGAGCTAATGATGACTAGAGAGTCCGACCGCTAGCACTCGTCTGGCCAACCAACGCCTTCAGCAATCACATGAATAAATTGCCAAATGACGTCACGTCAATTCGAGGCGCAGTGTGCATGCGCTAAAATGAAGGTGTCTCTTGAAGTGTCGTAGTGCCGTCTGGTGGTAAAGTTTGCGGAACCCGTAATGGTTACGGTATAGTGAATGCTCATTTCATTGAGAATTTCTTCAGAAGAGTTCTGTGAAAGAAGAACCAGGGTTGAGGTAGCTCTGTAGTGCTATAGCCGATTTTCGGGTATCACAGAGCTCGAGTAGCCCTCTTAGTACTCATCCATGGCTACCCCTGAGCTTTCACCGTGATATGGGTCCACTAGTAATTTGTGAAGTTGACCTGATGTAGGTGATTTGTATTGGTTGATCGCTTGTTCACCACGTAATCGATATTGATCAATATCAATTGATCGGAGTTACTGTAACAGAGGTGTAACGGAGCTGCCGTTGCACTCATACAGTGATCTCTGCTGTGTAAGGGCTATTCCTAACATCACACCAGCCTACCCTCTGAACTGAGCTTACTTCTAAATGTTCCAACGCAATTTATCGTGAGCTTTAATATACTACCTTTACCAGTGACAAAGGGGCGGAGGTGCTGTAGTGGCAAGTGGCACACTATGTCACGCACTTGGTCAGGGGCGAATCCCGGATCGATGTCCGCCTAGGCCAACCAAGCCTTCCATCCCTTCCTGGGGTCAGTTAATTGATAGCAGACTCGTCTGGGAGGATAAAAGCACTGACTTGTACATCGGCTGGCCACCGCAAGTCATTCTATAGGCCACATACGCACCCATTACGCCACTACGATTCTGAAAAGAAGTCGAGTGCGGGGCGCATCTCTTAGACGGGATTGATCAACGCCAAAAACTTTATCCTTATCCTTTTATCAGTGAAAAACCAACAAACCCGTCAGACCAAATGATAAATAGGTGCACTGAGCTACTGTTCCATATAAAACCTATGTACAACAAAGACTATTGTCGACTGTAGACTTTCTTTGAGCAGGTGGTCATTTTGTTGGGCTTCTTAATAAAAAGTGTGTTCACTACTATACTCTGCTCACAATCCCGTCTCATTTTCCCTTTCCCGCTCATCACAACTCATTCTCGACCTTCTCTTCACCTACTTGTCCCCGAGAACACCTGAAATTCACAGAGAGAGAAAACTGACGGGAAGCTTTCTTGTTAAACTGCCAAGGTGTGGTATCCTGAACCAGAGAGGTGTGTCGCCCCTGCTGGACCCGATCGCGTGCGTGCGGAAGATTCCCGTGAAGGAGGAAATTAGAGCTTTCCTGAGAGGTACGGTGCTTCCTGCGAAGCTGCTGCCTCTCGGAAGCTCTGGTAGGTATACTGTCACCAAGACTCCCAGACTGCAATGCTTCGCGAAGTGCGAAGCGAACATTT